GGCCCCCGCGCTCTCCCGGGGTAAGCAGGGGGGTCGGGGCGGGTCGGGGGTCCCCGGGGCCGGGGCTCAGCCCTCGCCTCTCGCTGCCAGGGCCCGGGGAGCTGCGCTGCCGCTGCCCAAGGACCGTCTCCGAGCTGATCCCGCCGCGGCGCCTGGCCCGCCTGGAGCTCCTCGCCGAGGGGCCGCACTGCGCCGTGCCCGAGCTCATGTAAGTGCCCGGCCCCGGGCCCTCGACCACCACCCCGAGCCCGGCCCTGGCCTTCAGCCCGGCCTCACCCGCTCCCTCGCCCCGCAGAGCCACGACGAAGCGCGGACAGACGGTGTGTCTGAGCCCCGCCGCGCCCTGGGTCAAGCTGATGCTCACCAGGCTCCTCAGCAGGTACCAGCCCGCAGGACCCCCGCACCCAGCGCCGGGAGCCCCCCGCACCTCCCCGTGCCCCCCTGCCTTGCTTTCGGCTTGTTTCTTTCAGCTCAAGCACCAAGAACTGACGGAGGAATGAAGGTCGCTACAGGGAGGGACGACGCCGAGCCCGGGGCTGCGGGGCTTTCACCGCTTCACACGCGCTGCTTGTGAGCTCGGCCCGCTCACCGAGGGCTTTGCTTCATGTCATGACATCCGATGGTATCAGCTCACATATCGCAAGGTGTATGATTCGAGATGTACCTCTAAACTGGGCATGGTCTGAAAAGCACAACTCCAAGTGCTGTACTGATTCACTGCCTTCAATACCTTGCTTTTGGGGCGCTGTGCAGGAGAAAGGATACAGGGAATATCCTGAATTCTTTCACGGGAAAACTTTTCCCTGGGTGCCAGCATCAGCAAACCACTCCTGTGGCTCAGCATCAGTGTGTCCCTGCCACACACCTTTGTAAGGACTTCAACTCACAACAGAAACATTTATTCCACCTAGCAGCTCTGAGTAGAGAAGGGAACCGCTGCTTCCCAAAGCACATCTGTTTTGTTCTGCACATCCTATAGCCATATGCCTGGAAAAACTCTTTCCCAGCCACTGTGGGAAAGCAGTGCAGGTTGCTGCTGCAGAGCCAGAGGTTCACTTGGCAACACAAGTTGACCAGCAAGTGCTAGTTGCCTTCTCCTGCCAGGAGTCCTGGTGCAGTTGGAGGGACCTTCTGGGCTTTGCTCCCTGCAACCTTAGACACATCATTTTTTGTTTTGTATGGCATAATGTCATAATTTATATAACGTTTTATATTTATATGAGTGATGTTGTGTTGGTGGATGTTTGTTTATTCTAGTCCAGATTCCTTTTGGAATTGTGTATATGAAGTTTTGTCTGTTCTTTGCTTGTCCAGCAGAAAATTAAAAAGAAGGGAGATCTAAGCCACTTTTAAATACTAGTATTTAAGTGCCACCATGGTGAGGTCGTATGATTTCTATTCATCTACTCATTTTCCTCAAGGTTGAAGAAACCCTCCCAATCATACACGTATAATTAGTGCAGAGGCATCATCATACATCCAGAATATCTGCAATAAGTTCCTGTAACTTAAATGGAAGATTTTTCTATGTTTTATAACTGTATATGTTTCTTAATTAAGAAATTTCCCCTTGTTACTTACAGAGTTGTTGCCTTGTAAAAATAAATAGTTAGATACACTTGCATAGTGTCTGTTTCCAAGTGTTAACATAAAAGATCCTAAACCATCAAATCTTGCTGGTTTAATGGCTTGTATAAGCTGTGCTCATTGATTCTCTTTCATCATTCCAAAACTACAACCCTCAGCCTTTGCCTTAATGGGACTTCTGGACTGACAGCAGGAGGACTGAGCCTCTTTTCTTTGGTCCCATATTGTTGGGAAATGAAATTATTTGGGAAGCTATTTTACAAATATGATTACTTTATTTGGATGACTGCCCGGGAGTGGAACAGAACTGAAATCCAGTTCCACATCTGTTTGGCAGCATCTACTCTGGTTTACTCAGTAAATCTATTATGTGGTGAAGCTGTCTTGGTTGTTGTAGCTCCGGCAACTTTTGAGTGCTGACCATTCCCAAAGTATTAGGATCAAAGATGTTCACTTTCTAGATGTTTTCTGAAAGTCTAGGGGTAGCTGTAGAAATTGCCAGTGTGCTCATACCAAGGAAAATGCTGCAGCTTAAGCACATGCCAAACTCTCATAGCATGCTAGAGAACCCAAGGTAGAGTGAGAAAGAGAAGTTATGAGTGCCTTAATTGGGGGAAGCTCCTTGGTTGGATTGTGTACCCAGTTATGCATCAGAGAAGCCAGTAGCAAAACTAAATTCCATCAAAAATCAGTTTTGTCAGTTCTGCTTCTTGTTCACTTGGAACATCTTAATCATCCATTGCAATAATCCTCACCTAGTGGGAGCAAGGGTCAGGTCGACCATGTCAGAGACAAGGAGAGGTTAATGTTACTGGATCTTCTCTTACTGTCCTAAAAACATCATCAATGCAGTGCGGCAGGATGAGCTGTGCAGATTGCACATTTTCCTTACATTACAACACATGTTCTTGTTCTCTTTGTGCCATCAGATAGACCTCTTGACACACTAACCTCATCACACATCAATTCTTTAGAAGTTACTCCTTCTCCTTGGGCTGCCCTAATTCACGGTCACCATGACAGGAAAATTCCATGATCTGTCTCCCTTTCTTATGACTACCTCCAGGAAACACCAGGAGTGCATACCCGTGGCCTTTCACCACACTAACTGGCAGTGGCAGCCAGCCTCTCTTACCTCTCACTAGTAACTAATGACCAAGTGTGACCAATTGGTTGTGTGAAAAGGGAGGGGAATGTCCCCATGGCCTGAAGAGTCTGGTCAGGAGGTTGGACTGATCCTTTTGCAAAATTCGTCTAATTGCCATGGGCAGAATCCTTGAAGGAGTTCATTCCTTTGGGATGATCCCAAATTGTTTTCCTCTTAACTTTTTTGAAGTCTATCTATAAGTGACGACGTGGATCACATACTCATAACTTCAGCTGCCTCCTAGTCACAGCCATCATTACAGATTATTGGATTGGCTCCAGAGCAAAGGAGTAGTTGCAGGAGATTCTGAGCACCAGTGCAAACAGCACAAGCTGTTCTTGTTTCACAGAGACTGAGACAGAATAAATCATGCTCATCTGAGTTTTTATTGACTTTTTTTTTCTAAATCATGGGCCTGATAATACTGCTTTGAGCCTACCCTGATGGAGTCAGATGTGTAGGGTTAGCCTAGCACAGCTTAAAGGGAAGTGACTGAGCGATGCTCCTGGGCACGAAACGTTTTTTCGAGTCTCCGTACATCTCAAGTTCCCTCTTGCTTTGCTGGCATGGCAAGCATTTGCACAAGACTTTCCCAAAAGTTCAGCACGGTCAGGCCAGCTGTTTGATAAGGGTTTGATATGTCAGAGAATGCAGATATCCTAGCTCATCAATAAATACTTATGTGAACGTCAAACAAAATGGTTAATTACATCACAGGAAAATGACTGTGCAAAGAAGCTTCTTCATGAGCACTGCAGATGTTACACACATTTGTCAACAAGCCACATTTGCCGATTAAAGAGTATTTCCTTTTTAGCATGGTGAAGCAATCTCAGCTTCTTCACCTCCTTCTGCAGTGAGTTTCTGCTCCTCTGGCATATCGTTATTTCATTGTTATAAGCCCCCAACACTCAGATCTCCCTTTAAAAGCCATGTACCTTAGCAGCCTATCTGCTGAATTAATACAGAATCATGTTACAGTTCACCTCAAGACCAGGCAGTCACAAATGAATGTGGATTAATTTTTCCTAGTTGAACAACAAGAAACCAGATTGCTTTGAAAAGCTGTAATGGCACAGGGAGGCAGTGCTAGGCCCAGGAGAACATGGCACGTTGTCCAGTTGATTTTATGAACAGTTTAAATTTCAAATCCCAGAAGCACCTGTCCTCCAGCTTTTCAACATGACTGTTCTACTTTAACAAGATGAAAACTTTTCCAGTTCACAAGAAGCACAGCTTTACTTGAATGTAGCTTGTTGGTTGTTTTTTTAAGGCCCTCTCAATGATTTATTACAAAATCTCCTGCTGGAGAAAAAGAAAGACTAGGAAGCAGCTTCCCAGGTGTTTGAGAAGGCAGAGGTACTCTAAGGTAATTTAAAGTATTTACTCCAGCTGTTGCTGGAGTTCATAGTTTGAAAGCCACGGGACAGAAGGCTCACTGATGAATTCCTCACTGTATGGGAAGTTTGTCACTGCTGTTTTACCACTTGCACGTTTAACTGCCAAACCAATGTAACCATTGATGTTGC